AAACATTGTATCTCATATATCAACTAGGTTGTAATTGTAAATTGGCCACCGTAAAAAGTTAAAAAGCTGACGATTCGAGCGTTAGCCCTTCATCGGAGCGAAAAATTTACAATTTTAACTTAGTCGATATAACCAAATTACCTTGTTAACCCCAACGACTCAGCACCACAGTTTCTTTAGAAACTCTCATCCTTTACAAATAATATTGCTGACATGACCAGCTTTGGCTATTAGAGGCGAACTCTATGTGTATTTAGATAACGTTTGGATCTCTCACGGCAATTTTTGATAAACTGCTGACGGTTGCAGAGAGAATCTTTCATAATTTTCTCGTAGGAATACTCATTTTTATTAAGTAGTTACGTCGTTAAAGACGGTTCGAGGACAGTCTGCTGTAAACTCTGTGGTGTGACTTATATTTTCAGTTTACGTATCCAAATTTGGAATCTTTTTTATAACTTCCAATGAGACAATAAAAGGAAACAATGAAAGCAAAATTTTGATTGATGGATTGCAAATTATTTGTAATTTTACCCTGCGAAGTTTGCTCGGAATGAATCAAGAGAAGAAAGGCACTTTTCCAAATCTTACTTTTCGAAGTTGAAATTGTTGCAAGTGATCGTGAAAAAAAAGCAGGCACGGAATCGAACAATGTTTCCTTCTAATCTACTCCAAATCACTTTATATTTCACTTCATTTAAAAAAAAAAACGATCGTGATCCTCAAAATACTGTAGAAGACCAAATTATAAACAAAAAAGTTCAACATGGCTTAAGAAAGATAATGTGATGAATTAGCTAAAAAATCGTCAACGAAGTAAAATGTGATGAGGACTAAGAAGCAATTCTTTGGTTTAATTTTAAGTTGATAAGTATTGGTTATCGAATTAAATTGAAATGCGTAAATTACTACAGTCATAAGATAACACTCCAGGCCTGATAACACTCTAAATAAACTCAAGTAAAATAAAAACGAGGTCAATGAAGCGGAAGAGGGGTGGTTCAATGATTTGGATTTGATAACCCTCTACCATCCGGACCTCGACGTGAATAAGAGAGCGTGAACTATTTATATTGTCTTATCCTGGTATCGCTTCTTTGTGGGATATAATGTCTATGCGCTTGCGTAAACAGTCCATTCAAACTTACGCTTGATGAAACTTTCCCCTCATTCAGCCTTTTGTCCCATGTAGTGCAAATAACCTATGCTAAGGACTAAATCAGCAAATGATAAATTCATTAGTACACCTCAATACATTGGTCAATGGTATACCCATTAAACATGGTTTAAACATTAGTACACCTCAATACATTGGTCAATGGTATACCCATTAAACATGGTTTTTTTTTTAATTGTTGCTTTAATCAATAGTTTATTTTATCATTTTGAGCTTCTAATAAATGTTCTTTTTTTAAATTGAAGGAACAGACAAATCTAGGAAATCTAAGAAAGGAAATTTCCTAATATAGTTTGCTGACGGCTTGTCGTCAAGCAGAGATTGTTACAAGATTAATGTCACGCTTCACCAATGTCAGATTGGAGCTGTTTTGAGCTTGATACAAGACGTTTGTGGCGAAAGTTATCCAAACAAAATAAAACTTTGACAACGAACGAGGACAGCAAAAGGTATTAATTAGCGATCCGAAAACTACACAATAACACAACAAGATTGCGGGTCAGACGAGCACATGTTTTTCTCTCTAGACTGTGGGGGACTAAGTTCTATTTTGGTAGAATCCGCTGGGTAACGGGCGGTTGGCAACAACGTTTATATTGAGAAATAAACACAATAGATAATTTTAGACTATTAGAGGGAAACTCTATGTGTATTCAGATAATGTTTGGACCGCTCCCTGCAATTTGATGACAAATGTTTCCTTTAAACCCTCCCTTTCTTCGATCTCCTTATACTGGGGAAAATCTTTCTCTAATGTTTGTGTATAAACACCTATTTTAATACTCCAGTTTCGCGTTCTGTGCTGATAACCGCTGTTCGAATGTTTGCAGATACTGTCAAGCGTGAAAACGAGGCTAACCCTGTATCATATCATTGTAGTATACAAACAAACCAGGTGCGAGCGTGTAAAAATCTTGATTCATTTAACTTATAAGAGCTCTTTGTAGTAAATATTTGAGTCGAAAAATGTGGCGAAGGCTGCCTGATGGACACAATTCAGAAGATAGAGGACTTTTTGAAAGCTTACAGTGAAATAGTTGAGAGAAATATTGAAAGTAGAAAACCAGCCATGTGGCGGCAAAAAGGCTGATCTTGTCCCAAGATGTTAAGCTATTTATCAAAGAAAAGTGGTCTGCGTCGAGCCTGACAACGTTTCAAGACAAGAACAGCCATTGATATCGTTGATTTCGAACACCAAAAGTGACCACGAAATAACGTACGAAGTTTTGTCTAGAGATCAAGCCTCTCGGGGATGCGAGTGGAGCAAGGACTTGCGAAATATACCGTCGTTCAACCTCGTACAACTCTACGACTGTGGAATATGGATGGCTCTGCTCCTGAAAAATATAAACACCAAAGTTTAAAGCAATCTTGAGTTCAACTTGATACTTCGATAGTCTTATATTAATAAAGAAATATTCAAAATCTTCAAAGCTAAGTGAATCGT